CTACAGGCAGACAGACTGGCAAACACAGACCGGCAACCCCTCGACAATATGTGTTCTTGCATTGCATAGATGCAGAAAACACATAAAAAGTATTCAATGCGTAAATATGATTGTTAGACGCACAATCCCCCACAAGGGGGAGGATTAACGAGGAGTGTGTAGAAATTAAGGATATGAACAACCCCAAAAAAAAATTTTTTTCCTACCCCATTTTGTGCACCGGTCGAAAGAGGTGCGAAGCTGGGCGATCCCATATCGTTCAAACATTTTCACGGCCTGCTTCGTGATCATATCTCGTGAGCTGGATGGTATGAACGTTAAGGGGATAGGCGGATGGCGCAGATAGCAGTATTAAAACTATAGAAAACTCTCTTTCGCACCCCCGCCTCGCTCGTCGCCAGTAAAAGCCATGCGCTTTCAAAACCCCGCCCGCAGGAGACCGCTCTGTTTAAGGGAGAGGGCAGCTAAATTAATAAACTACGTGAATAAGACAGTTCCCATTCAAAGAAGCCCTTGCAAGATAAATTATATGTTCCAAAAGCTTAACGCACAAAGAAAGTATGCCTCCAAAACAAAGCATCGGAAATGAAGGTGATGCATACTTGTCAGTAGGCCTGCGACCAAATTGCAGATAGATGGTAACGACTGGGGAAAATCTGTCAGCTATGTCTATCTTGGCCAGGAAGTAAACATGCGCCACATCTTCACTCTGAGTTTGTGCACATAGGGTTGGCGCAAATTTCACAGCATTATCGATGTCCTCAGACTGTCCAACTAAAAGGACCGTGTGCATCTCTTCAATACCACTATGTTGGTGCAATGACATCTAAGTGCAAAGTGTGGCCACTGACGAAAATAAAAGTGCAACAACGGATGTATTGTAGACAGCGATGGGCCAAGGGATAGCACGTTTCTTCGTGACTATAAAAGCAATCAAATTCTCCGTGAGATGAGCAGCACGCAGGAAATCACTGCGACCATGTAAGAAAGCAAAATTCTCTGAGTAGGTCACGATGTTTGCCTTGTCAACAAACTGTAGATATTCCGCATTATGGGTGGTACCCATAAGAAGGCAACCGATCATTTGGGCGTACATACATCGAAAAGGCGTTAGGTACTAGTGGAAGAAATGCATTCACAATACAAATGATCAGGCATAACTACGTCAGACGTATGGGAGGGACCCAGTAAATCACTATACGGATTACTCACACCGACTGTAAGGATGATCTTAACGATAATAACTAAGAACAATTAATTATAATAAGAGTACTGATAATCCAAACAGATTTACTTTCTCATAATGGCGGAACTCGTCCGAAGCACTTACTTTTCACTGCACCGCCGGCTGGCTTTCGTCCACCACCTGGCTGTTTGCCTGATCCTTTCACGTTCACCGATGATCCTTCAGCGCCTTTTACAGAAGGTGACGGCGTCAGATTCGAGCCTGGTCTAGTCTGCGTGATAGGCTCATTGTCTGCAAGGAAACTTTTCCGCAAAAATTGTGACATTTTTTTTCCAGTTTTCATTAACAAATATGAGCGACGTGTATTTTTTTTTTTTTAAAAACTGGTCCCAATACTCTGCCTTTAGCTAGGTTTAAGGTTGCGAATCCATGAGAGAAAAAGAGAGGCTATCAAGATTCCGAAGTCCCCCAAGGATAACCGCTGTTGAAGTGCTAGGATCTCTCGACATGTGCCTAAAACAACTGTTTACAGCGACAAAAAGATAAACTGTCAAGGGCAACGGACAGTAAAAACTACTCGCAAGTTAATCCCTCAACAGAGAACAACAACTGCAAATTCATACTGGCAGATCTAGTTCGTCCCATAGCCGCACTGTATGGTTATCTGAAATTCTCAGCAACCAACTTGTTCTCTATTACTGATTCGTCACCGTAAACCGGAAGGAAGGGCACGCAGTCAGTGGGCTTCATTTTTTGTTTTGTTTCCCCCTTTTCCCCTGTGCCGTAAATATATCGCGCGTTGTGCACATGGTTGCACGCCGAAAACCATTTTTATCCGTCCGTCAATTTCACCTGCTTAAGCTTATTGGAAAAACAGAAGTGATCATTATTATTATTATTATTATTATTGTTGTTACTGTTATTATTATTATTATTATTATTACCATTATTATTATTATTATTACTGTTATTATTATTAAAGGTTGGAGAGAAGATATTATTATTAATTATAATAACTGTCATTATTAGAGAAAATATTACTAATATTATTATAATATTATCGCATCCGCGACAACACACTATAAGAACCGCTAAGATTGTGATATATCGAGCATTTCTTTCTGGATGAATGGAAAAATAAATGGCAACGCGCACCAGACTAGCCGGTGCGATCATGCGTTTTGTGCAATTCAGCCC